TCTGACGTAGATAGTTTTTACTTCTTGACTTTTTTGAAAATATATATTTATACGAATATGTTTTATTGTTTTCATACATTTATTTTATGGTACTAGTGCCATACTGTAGTTCTAGATGTGTTAATACTTGGCACGATACTGACATTGTATTTTCCTATTCCACAGGAGAACTCTGTACCTGTCCTGTGTGCCCAGTATGGCGAGGTACCCGTTGGATCAACAAGAATGCAACTTCAAACTACATGGATGTAAGAAATCCCTTTTTACCTCCATGAAAAATGGAGGTATTGTTTTTGGCATGTCTGTGTGTGTGTGTGTGTGTGTGTGTGTGTGTGTGTGTGTGTGTGTGTGTGTGTGTGTGTGTGTGTGTGTGTGTGTGTGTGTAATAATGCGGGTTTCATTTGAAACACTTCACAGCCCGAAGGCTGAATTACATGTCCCGTACATTGTATAAGAAACATATTGTTACAATATAATCATTACATTTTTACAATACAACACTGAACGTTAAAATCAGCCTCTACCAGGCTTGGGGAGGCGGCTATAAAGAGTAGAAATCGGCCAAATAGAGAGATAAGCATGCCAAGGGAGTTTGTCCGTTTAGAGAACAGTTCGCCGCACTCCAAAATATTGCCATTTGAATTTAGAAAACCATAACTTAAACTAGATTATGCTAATTACGACCTTATTTCCATAGTCAAAGAGACAAATAATAAAACATTTACGAAAATCCATATATTTCCTGGAGGTATGAAATCTCCGAATTCCTTTTTTTGAAACTATTGTTTTGAGTGGTTGGGCTTGTTTGTATCGAAACGGAATGCTGCAAGAATTAAAGATTTAAGTGGATTTCAATGTTTATTAGTACTTTTGCAACCATTACATTTAGCACATACATTATGTATGTTTCAACATCTGTTGTCTACAACATGTGTCATATGCATTTCTAACATGTGGTTTTAATATTTATCTATTGGTGTCTTCTGCAGATAGTGGGTTGTATTTCCCTCTTCACCGTCCAAAGAACGCCAGATCTCCCGGACCTGTGACAACAGACATGACGGCCGTTGTGTCCCAGTTCGAACTAACAGGGCTGAGCGTCTATTCTTCAGTACAGCAAATAGACAACACTGAGGCTGGTAAAGGTTTAATAATTGCCAACATTCTGTTCTTTTCTGGTAGGCCACGCAGACTTTATTTTAGAACCAGTTATGGTCTGGTTTCTGATGGGAAAATGATGCCTCTCTGACATTAAAGCACGCGCGTGTGTGTGTGTTTATGTATGTATGTATGTATGTGTGTGTGTGTGTGTGTTTGTGTGTGTGTGTGTTTGTTTGTGTGTTTGTGTGTGTGAAGAGAGAGAAAGAGAGGGAGAGGGAAAGGGAGGTAGGAGATGCAGAGAGGGGAGGGAGAGAGACACGTGCATTGATTGATTTTTTTCTTGCAGCATGTCATCTGCTCACAGGCAAGTGCGCATACAACGCCGAATACTGTACCGACATGCGCGGGTGTAGCCATGGCAACGAGTGTGCCGTGTGCAAAACCTACTTTGGCAGCTGCCAGTACGAATCCAACGACTGCAGAAAGTCCAACACATCAGGTCAACTACTACTATTTTATCAAACAATTATTGAAAAAAAACCAGGAACATACAATGTCAACCAAACCTTATACTTGTTTTCATTATCATTTCATAGGAGCATGTACTAAACATTTCGTCTTGGTGCCGGTGACATCTTTTGCATGAATTATGACTTAGAAACAAAAAAAAACGTTCAATTGCAGAAACAAATTTAGCCAAACACTAAAAACAAAATACATTTGTATATCTGGTATAACACACCCAACCTTTGAATAATATGTAACTGTAGGAGTTTTTAACGCTATCAAGCAAATTAACTAAATATGTTAAATTGGTTCTTAAAAAATTCAATGGAAAGTAGTAACGAATGGCGTTCTCATACCTCAGGCCTGACTCAGGTCTCTACCCTGGAGGTCCGTCTGCAGTTTTCCCGCCGTTTGCAGAGTCACGTGCTCGTGACGTTCCTTCCCACTACGTCAGTGGTGATGACGTCATGGCTCGGCTTCTGGCTGCACCCGCAGGAGGTCAACGGGAGGGTCTCGCTGGGGATCAGCACGCTCCTGTCTCTGATCATCAAGAGCAGCTATGGTGCAAACCCCCAGGTGAGCCTCATTAAGACTACTTCCAAGGGTGAACATAGAAATGGTGTATGAGTGTTTGACCAATTGCTGACTTCGGTTACTGGCCACCAGAAGTTTTGTCTCTGTCCTAGGAGGTTAAACCTCCTTGCTGTGTCCTATAATTGTAATCTTGATAAAACAGTGAAAATGAATAGTAAAAAGATTGGCCAAATTGCAAATGTGTTACGAATGCATAACTCTATGGCTCTGTCCTATAATTATAGTCTTTATGTACTAAACATTTTGGTTTGCCGCAGTAAAAATATAGTAAAGGTTTGCCAATGGGCTGCGAATGCATGCTGGTTAACTCCCTAGACAAAGTCGTTCGGTGTAACATTTCATTTTCATGTGTCTGTAGGGGAGTCGGTCTCGTAGAGGAACATACTTTTCCTGTTGCCGTGTCCCCTCAGAATTTTAACTTTGTAAAATTCTGTGAAGTGGAATAAATAAAAGTAACATAGCCAGCTGCCACCGCGCCGCGTGACTGCGAAGCTGGTGTGTTACGCATACCCAGAAGGGCGTTTATACCGGCTATAATGATAAAGATACAGAAATCATTTAGCCTGTTTGGCTTATTTTTCCTAGTGTTACAGCAATTTTACAGTAGCCGCAAGAGTCTGCCATAGAGACTACTAAATGATATGCCTATTGTTTGGTTCCAGACGCACCTGGTGCGAGCCTATGACGTGTGGATGAGCGGGTGTCTGGCCATGGTGATGCTCGCCCTGCTGGAGACTGTCCTGGCTAACTTCATCCTCTCAGAAGGAAAGGTTATTATTATAGAACTTGTAAATATTGCTCCTCAAATGCAGTGGGAGACGAAATTCATTTCATCTAACTGTCCATTTTATGACGACATCAGAAAACCGTGTCCAAAATGCTCCCTTACTTCCCGACCATTCCCTACCACAAAAAAAAAGAAAATTTACTACTAAAAGCAAAGAACCCACATATTATAGAAGAAGTGGGTAGATTCGTCTTCCATTGCCTAAAAAGAAGAAGTCAAACGTAGATATAGTCTCACATACCACTGTTTTTAATGCTAAACGTATATATAGTCTCACATACCACTGTATTTTCTTTTTTATGTTGTTTGTAACTGCAATTAGCCCTCGGGCAAGCATTTGCAATAAACTTTCAATTATTTTCTAATACATAGTTTGAAATAGTTAGGTTTTGGCATATCATATTTAGTATCTTTTTCCTATACCATAGGGCATACATTTGCCCATTTGCACCTGTTTTGTATGATTCACAGTATGGTTGAAAGCTTTTTTTGGAAACGGACGAAAATTCATGCGCGCGCGGATGTCATCCATATAATCAAACTAAGGCCATGTTGATTTGATTATATGGATGACATCCACGCACGCATGAATTTTCGGCCGTTTTAAAAAAAAAAGTTTTCAACCACACTGTAAATCGTACAGAACAGTTGCAAAATGAGTAAAAATATACCATAAGTTACAAAAAAAATTAATAAAAATTATACCAATGTCGTAGAATGCCAAAATCAAACGAAAAAAGACGAAATTGTAAAGAAATGAACTTGAAGACTAGAAAGGCCGACATTTGCTTGGGAGCCAATACAGCATATTTCAGTCCATGTCCCTCCCACGCAAAGTGGACTATTCCAAACTTACCCCAGTGCAAAACTGGCAAAGGTTCTCAAATAGTAGCTATATGAGAACAAAGATGCAACAACAAGTACTTTGGATCTCGAAAGCTTTACTAATCTTATTGCAGGTATGCAAAAACTAACAATGATGAGATTTGATACATTTTGAAGGTCTTAGGCACATAAAATTGAATGTGTGGGTTATTACGCACCACTTAGGTGCAATGTGACCTCAGGTAACCCGCAATGGAACACGTGTTCCATGGATGGAACCGGCCATCCTTTAGATAGAACATGGAACGGGTACAGCACTTTTGGCCCTTTTTTGTAGAAAATAGCCATTAAAGTCCCCCAAATGAGTCATTTGGAAGTGGTGTATGCCAAATATGTAACTGCTATTCTGTGGACACATGTTCAAGGTACTCTTATACCGAATTTCAGATCATCTGGTTGTAAAACCAGGGCTCAGGATCCAAAAATCCATTTTTTGGCGAAAAATGCCCCCAAAAACCTCCATAAAATTTTTCAAAGGCATGTATCAAAAAAATGAAAAAAACGCCTGGGGGTATTGGCTCACTCTACCTCCATGCCAAATTTCAAGTCATTTGGCTGAATGATGGCGGAGTTGATCGATGAATCCCTTTGACTGTTTGGCAGGAGAAGAAGGAGGAGGAGGAGAAGAAACATCAGAGAACACAATATATTTCATCCATACCATGGTATGGACTGAAATATAACTAGAAAGGCCGACATTTGTTTGAGAGCAAATGCAGCAGATGGCTTCACCCTATCCCCCATACCGAAAATGGATCTATCCTACGATGGCTGCCAATAGTCTACACCCCCATGCAGAAATGGAACCTTCCAACGCCGGAAATAGCCAAAAAGCCTTATTTTACATAACTTTAAAGTGGTGTATGTCAAAAGCGTGAATGACATTCTTTGGACATGTGTCCAAGGTATTCCCATACCAAAGTTCAGGTCATTCGGATTTAATATTAGGGCACAGGAGCCAAAAATGTACATTTTTGGTCCGAAAATAGCAAAAAAGCCCTATTTTACAAAATTTTAAAGTGGTATATGTCGAAAGCGTGAACGACATTCTTTGGACATGTGTCCAAGGTATCCCCATACCGAATTTCAGGTCATTCAGATTTAATATTAGGGCACAGGAGCCAAAAATGTACATTTTGGGTCCGAAAATAGCCAAAAAGCCTTATTTTTCCCAATTTTAAAGTGGTGTATGTCAAAAGCTTGAATGAATTTTTGTAGACATATGTCCAAGGTATCCCCATACCAAATTTCAGGTCATTTGGTTTTAGTACCTGGGAACCAGATCTCAAAATGTATATTTTTTGCCTGAAAATGGCCAAAAAACCCAAATAAAACAATTTTTCAAAAAAATGAAAAAAAACGCGTCGGGGTATTTGCCCACTCTACCGTCATGCCAAATTTCGTGTTATTTGGCCGGAAAATGGCAGAGATGAATCCATTTAAAGAAATGGCAGGAGAAGGAGGAGAAGAAACATGAGAGAACACAATATATTTCATCCATACCATGGTATGGACTGAAATATAACTAGATTATTCACCAAACCATATCCTGTGCCATTTGCTCATCATCCCTCATGACCACGTAGATTTTTCATAATGAAAAGAACTTTTTTTTTTGCAAAACTTTTTTTTATTCGCACACACGCATCAGTTTTGGGGCTCCCGGAGTATGTCATCCATATAATCAAATCAACATGGCCTTACAGCAGGAAAATGTAGTGGAAACCTATGTCAAAAGCTGTTGTTAAAAGCTAGGTTGTTCACAGTTATGTAAAATGGTAGGTTGACCCAATTCAAGACTATATTTGTTGTACAGCATTGGAAGGTACTAGTATGTGATGGTGAACAGCTAAAAAAATTGGAACAAGCCATCCTTTTGTATCCCCATGCAAAACTTGTTTATTCACACGTTTTATGATTCTATCTATACAAAAAAGACTTCCCAAAAATTATTGTAGGCCTTCCTGTGACTCTAGAATGCCTGAAAAATCTCCGACAACAGAGTTTTTGTCCTAATTATTTCTTTCTCTGTTTTTTTTTCTCGCCACACACATGTAGCTGCCAGAATGCCTGGGTCTGAGGCAGACTTCGGTAGAACCGTTGTCGAAACCGTCCACAGCTTGGGTTGGTGATGAAGAGAACAGAGTGCACTCGGCTGAGAAAAGAGCAGTGAAGCTCGACTTCTGCGCTAAGATTGTTTTTCCTGTGGCTTTTGTGGCCTTTTTGATTGGCTTCTTCACATATTATGCCTAAAGTTCAGTTTCACATGTCACATGTTACAACTACTAACTGTCAGTCAGTCTCAAAACACTAGGACTAAATGTTACTACTGCATGATTTATTATAAGATAATTTGATATATGTCACCAATACAATATTATACAAGAGTTCCAAGATCTCATACCTTCGCCAAATGATGTTAACCCTTGCGGTTGACTATTATACAATTTTAATCATTGATTTTGCAAAATAAGAGCCTCATTTGCATCGATTATATCAGTTAATTATATTCTTCACCCAATGACAGCCTTATCTTAACAAAAGTCTGCTGCAGTACCAACAAAAGCCACCAGGGGGGCCAGAATCTGATCATTTCTAGGTCTTATCAAGACCTACCCACTTACCAAGTTTCATGACAATGCATAATAAGCTTCTTGAGTTATGCTGTTCACAAACAAACAAACGGACGGATGGACAAATGCTACTGAAAACATATTAACCTTCTTGGCGAAGGTTACAAGCAATATCGCTTGTATAATATTGTATGCGCTGTCGGCGTGCAAAAACTTAGTACATGTATATGAACCTCATGAGCGAAAATCTCTCAATATATTTCGATGATACACATGAATGATTTTATGTAAACACTTTCACAAATACTATATATCTGTATCAAAGAAACTGGAAAACAGTTCAAGATATTTAAGATATCACAGAAAAGCAAATCAGAAATTGCACGGTTTATTCGCTAAAAGACAGATAGGACTAAGCTGTGATCAAAGTTTTGCCTCAGTAGAACTGTGAATTATTGTTGCAAAAACTTGATTGAGTAAAATCTATTTTGTCTATTTTCACATTTCATCATAACAAATCTGTCAAACATAAGACTAAAACTTTTACTCCATAAAATGAAGACAAAACCACATTCACCGACATACCTTTTATATCTAATCACCAATCTAATAACAAAGATGAACACATATTTTGTGTATGATAAGTGTTCATTATTATTAGACCCCCTTTGTATTCATAGTTCCGGGCAAAGTTTGCGAACGAACAAAACAGTATGTTCACTGTAAAGGTAATAAATCAACAAAACAAACAGCACCATAGCCTGTTATCATAAACGTTTTTGTTTCACTCTGCATCTAATTGTGACAAAAAAGTTTAATCCTTTTCATAGTATTGCCTTAATATTTAACATAGAAAACTGATTTTAACATATAGACAACATTTTCCACAAGCAAATAAAGTCCAATAATTGTATATCTATGAGGAATACATATATCTCTGGACTTGTACTGTGCTGATCTACATTCAATGTACACGCATGTTACTTTTACAATTGACAAAAAATAATAATTTTGCTGGTCTTTATAAGAAAAAACGTAAACGTGAACATGTAACGTTAGTTATTCTTGCACCAATAGATAATGTATATGAAATATGTATAAGGTTTAAACAGTGATAACATAGTATCAAAAGAAATAAGCGATATCATACACAGTATTACGTGAATTGTATACATAGTGTTAGATGTGTATAGGAGGTCCAAGTTTCATATTTAAATGGGGATGTGTATATAGTAACTCTATCTTCATTGTGGGTCAGTAAATCATAACATCAACTATTGTGAGACGTATGCGTTACATGTGACGAATCTTGAAAGAATACCTCCCAATTTTAAAACACTTTACATTATAGTAAGCTCTTTGTGTGAGCGTCGGTACTGTACAAAACATACATATCAATTAATGTTACATTTTACAACATTCCAGTTAGTAATATATTGTCGTCTTTGCTATATTCCTGCAAATCTGTATGTCAATTTATTCTGTACTGTTCACTGCCCAACATTATATTTCTGAATTTGTTCGCGCGCCTCTACAAAACAAAATATAACAAGAGTTCCGAGATCTCATACCTCCATGAAATATGGGCTTGCATTGTCATAGTTCATTTCAACATGTCCTCATTAATTATGCAAATAACCTCAACATTAACATAATATATGCATAGTGGTGCTAACCTTTAAGTAACTTATACATGAGGTATAAAATTCCCATCATTCACCAATAAGAAGTCACAAAATGTTCACATTAATTATGCAAATTAGGTCACCATTTGCATAATTGGTATCTGTTGATGTTCCGCCTGCCACAGATTAAATAGATTACATGTATAGCAGTACCATTATATGAAACACTGTAATTATAGAATTTCCTCCTTAATTATGCAAATTAAGTCCTCATTTGCATAATTTGCATTGAATCATGTACAACTCAGGTACCTACACACCAAAAATGATGAAAATACGTTATTCCAATCTGGACTTATTGGCTTTAAAGTTTTTTACCAGAAACTAACCTGCAGTTCCAGAACAAGCTGCTAGGGGGACCAAACTTACGCCACTCATTCCTGACAGGATAAGCTATCTGTCACCAAAAAGTCAAGACCATAGCTCGTTCAGGACAAAAGATACAAAAACCGGAAGTTCGGCTGCAGTACCAAGGTCATCCACCAGGAGGCCCGTACTTCACCTTGACCTTTGTCTTTCCAAGACTTTGACCTTGACCTTTGTCTTTCCAAGACTTACCATCATGACAAATATCATAACAATCCATAAAGGCGTTCTGAAGTTATGCTGACTACAAAGTTGCGGAAACACACACACACACACACAGAGACAGACATACACACATACACACAGACACGCCAAAAACAATACCTCCATTTTTCATGGAGGTAACAATAATATCACAAGTTACTGTCATTGCAGTTTTTAAAGTAATCGACGGGTGACGTTGTAGCTTAGTTTAAAATATTTAGCATTCAAATGGGTAACCTTGACCACAACTGTATCCCTTACAGATGCTTTGCTAGTGCTTTAATTGTGCGTGTGTCTATGTCTGGAATTAAACACGTATATCTAGCTGTTGTTATGGGCTCACCACACCACGAAGTGGTGGTGAACCCATATTGCTTTTTCTGATGTTTCTTCTCCTTCTTCTTCTCCTGCCATTTTTTAAATGGATTCAGCTTCTTCATTTTAGGGCCCAAGGTCCTGAAATTTGGTATGGAGGTACAGTGGGCAAATACCCCTAGGCGTTTTTTAAATTATTGTGATACAGGCTTTTAGAATGGTTTTATTTGAGTTTTTTGGCTGTGTTATAGCAAATGTATTACTGTGTTAGTGTGCCTTGTTTACCACGTTTGGGCATGAGTCATCACAATGGAATGCAGGGCATCAACCAATAGGCATGCAGCTTTCCTCTATTCTTCTTGCTGATTGGCTGTTGGGATTTAACTTGATCAACACCTGCACAGAGCATTTCCACCTGCACAGAGCATTTCTTGCTGATTGGCTGTTGGGATTTAACTTGATTAACACCTGCACAGAGCATTTCCATACTGACAGTATGTCTGTATTCAAGTGTTTGGTAGGTATTTCAAGCTTTCCTGCTCCAGCATTGGAATGCGGGGCATGGACATTTTTTTTTATTTTGAAAATCAACAGTTTGCATTATGCAATTATGCAATTAAAAATGGTGACGGTGGTGTGACGCCCACCGGGCCATCCGGCTAATCTCTGTCTTTAGTGAGTCCTTTGGGTCTCTGCTACGCCCTAATCCACTCTTTCCAAGCTCCGAATCGTCACTTAGACGTCAGAGGGCCGCACCAGACCAAGAGGCAAGAGCTGAAAGAGTTACAGGCAAAGAAAAGCGGGGAAGTTTGCTGTCTGCAAGAGACGAAGGCTGTGACGGAGGAATTAATGGTATTCATTGTGAATCATCGACACTTTAGGCGCTTTTTCTCAGACAGTCGATCCTCCTTAAGCTTGTTGAACGTGAACAATCATAGACGATTCTTACCTACCTTGTCGTGTTCCTACATTGAACACTGTACTGTATATACTGATTTAACCGCCTCTAGATGCCGTTTTTTGGGGCAAAATATCTACGACAGGAAGGCCAAGATGGCGGCTCAGCAGTGATTGATTGAATCAGACACATATTTCCCGCCTTTCAGAGAGCGGTTTACTAGTGCCGTAAATGATCAAATTAGCCTCCAGTCACCGCCTAGCCTAAAGACTCGGTACGAAAACACTACCTCAATATGTCTGCTCTTCCGTCGCTATCGATCGGTTCCAAGTTCCGTATCGCTACGCTAAACGTTAGAGGGCTTTCACAGATTACAAAGCGACAGGAGTTAGATGAACTGCTATCAAAGAAAAGTATAGATGTGTGCTGTCTTCAGGAAACCAAGGTCGCAACGGAGGACTCCATTGCACTGCGGCACGGCCACCTACAGTTGCTGGGCCAGGAGCAAGGCCACCACCGTGGAGTTGGGATTTGGGTGAGCCGTCGGCTGATGAAGGGGATCCAGGGATACAAACAGTTTGGCGACCGTATCTTTGGTGTAAAAATCCTTTTCAAGCAGGAGAAATCCCAACCCCTGGTTGTAGTCGGTGCATATGGGCCAACCAGTCAGACGTGTGCGAAAAACCCCACGGTGAGAGACAGGTTCTACTCTCAACTGTCGGCCGCAGTCGACTACTACCCCTCACGATCCCTGTTCTACATGGCGGGGGATTTCAATTCCAAGTTGGGAGCAGGTAAAGTTGGCCACGAAGTTGGGCGATGGGGAAAGGGACGACAAAACGAAAACGGCAAAAGCCTACTAAACTTCTGTCAGCAGCATGGACTAGTGGCGCTTAATACGCTATTCCAACATCACCCCAAACACATAACCACATGGGAGTCTAGCTTCAAGACGGACAAGAACAGAACTGTACGAAACCAGATTGATTTTGTACTAGGACGAATCAAGCAGAGACGTACAGTCACACAGGCACGAGCATATCACGTTCCGGAGATCAGCACTGATCACCGTATGGTAGTCGCCACCATCTGCTCGCCTCAAAAGGTGTGGTTCTGCAACAGATCCACACGGACGAAGGTGATCAGGTTAGGAGAAATCCGAAACGACAAGGACAAGCAGGAGCAGTGGAGATCAGTAGTATCGGCAACAGTAGCGGCACAAGAACCCACCACGTGGGATGAAGCGGCATCCATGCTTGTTGAACAGGGAAGGAAGATACTAGGCACGGAACAGCGTAGTAAGCGCACACAGACCTACTTCACGGACGACCCACTAGTCGCACAGATGTCAAAGCAGCAAAAAGATCTACGACATCATATACAACAACTTAAGAGGGGAATAGTGACCCGTGCCACACAGGACAGAGTTAAAAACCTCACTGTGCAGAGAAGGAAAGTGCAACACGAGCAGCGTAAGAGAGTACGTGAACTGGTCACTGCCAAGCTACACGCTCAAGCAGCAAAAATAGAGGTCATCAAGGACGACAATGCAAAGATGTTCGCCGCTATGAAGGACCTAAGGTTTAGTGGCGGAGCTCCTCTCGCAGTTCGCTCCTCCAGCGGCGAGATGCTCATTAAACCGCTAGACCAGGCCAACACCATCTCGAAACACTTCGAAAGTCTCTTTAACATCGACGCAGCGCCTCTCCCTGAGTTTCAGGCTGCGCCCCTGCGCAACCCAGTAACAGCCACAGAAGTTGCCCGGGCAGCTTCACGGCTGAAGAACGGACGCAGCTACGGGGCAGATGGCGTCGCAAATGAACTTTTGAAGTACTGCTCCTCCAAGCCGGACGACCCAATGGCTATCACGATAGCAAAGATAATAAATGCTATGTTCAGCAAAGGAGAGGTCATAAAAGCCATGGGTCAAGGCGTTCTTATCCCTCTACAAAAACCAGGCAAACCGCGAGGTCCATGTAACAGCCTCCGGCCGATAGTTCTGCTGAACGGCGTTAGGAAACTCTTTTCGCTCATCGTGCTGGAACGCTGTAAACCTCAGGTAGATCTATATCTGCCACGCTCACAGTCCGCTTACCGCCGGGGCCATAGCACAACCGACATCGTTTTCACCAAGAGAATCCTGGCCGACTTGGTCATGACGAAGGTGTGTGACTTTCACATCCTAGGTATAGATCTCAGCCGTGCCTTCGACACCGTGGACAGAGCTCAGCTCATATCGGTGCTGAAGGACGTGGTAGACGACGATGACATTGTGCGAATGGTGCATGCTCTCTTGACAGACACCACCCTCGCGGTACGCGTCCGAGGAGAAGCAGCCCCTCCGTTTGAAGCAGCTGTCGGCTCACCCCAGGGTGACAGCTTAAGTCCACAGCTCTTCAACATCTACTATGAGGCAGCCCTCCGTGATCTGCGTGAGACCTACCCACCAACCCCTGCCGAAGACAAGCGGCTCAAGCTACCACCAGAGACCCAATATGCTGATGATCTTGATTTCATCAGTACATCCCACCAACATCTAGAAAACATACATGAGCAGGCGATAAAGGTTCTGCCAGAATGGAAGTTACAGGCCAATGCCACCAAGACTGAACGAATACATATCTGCTGGAAAAGGGAGAGGGAGGAGGAGACATGGAGAAAAACAAAGTCACTGGGCTCCCGGCTAGGCATCGCTGATGACATCGACGGGAGAATGCAGTTGGCCAATGCAGCAGTTAGGAAGATGTGGTATATGTGGGGAGCACAACCTGTCTCCCTGGAGCTAAAGCTTAAACTCTTTAACGTTTACGTCTTACCTGTAATGCTATACAACTGTGGTACATGGGGGCTAACGGAACAGTTAGCCAGCAAGATCGACACCTGGCACAGGAAGCAGTTAAGACGCTTAGCTGGGTATGTCCACCCACACCACATCAGTAACACCAACCTGTACAAGATCTGTAACTCCTCTCCCCTTCAAAATGAAGTCCACCGGCGCAGATGGACTTTCTTCGGACACATTCTCCGCATGTCACCTGACTCACCTGCACAAAAGGCCCTCAACATCGCCTTTAGCAGAAAACTCGCGCCAAGGAAAGGCAGGCCCCGAGGAGGTCTTCTGGACTGTCTACTAGACGACGTCAAGTTGTACTTGCAGCAGAACATTAAAGCCGAGGCCTACGTTCTTAAGTGGCTACGAGACCAGGCAAGGCAGAAGGAAAAGTGGAAGTAGATAGGGTAGTCTCCTATTAGAGCTGCAATTGTTTCCTTTTTGTGTCTCCGGTTGCCTTCTAATTAGTCTAAAGATGGGCCTGACAAATAAGGAAAAGGAAGAGATCATTCCGAGCATCATTGACACGCGAATCAAGGCCACCATTGAGTCTGCGATCGTGAGTGTGTTTCAGCAAGGCGATGTGCTCGCCGCCATCATCCCCTCTATTGTCACTGCGGTTCGCGATGCAGTAAGCTCCTCTGTCAAAGAAGAGCTTGCTGAGTGTCATAAAGAGCTTGGGCGTCAGGGTGAGGAACTAAGCAACCTCACCGAGAAGTTTACTTCTCTTCAAAGGGCTCACGACGCTCTGCAGGCCAAGGTCAATGATTTGGAGCAATATTCACGCCGTAATTGTGTCACCATAACCGGCATTCCTGAGCCACCTGGTGAAAAATCAACGGATGACGCTGTCCTGACTGTGGTAAACAACACGCTGGACTGTGATCCACCCATCTCTCTCCAGGACATCGACAGATGTCATCGTCTTGGTAAACCACGATCCGATGGAAAACCTCGACCAGTCATCGTGAAACTCTGCTCCTATCGATGTAAGGCAAGTCTGATGCGTGCAAAATCCAAGCCCACCAGTAAAGCCAACTTGAGAAAGGACAACATATACATCAATGACAACTTGACAACCGGCAACCTGCAACTATTCAAAGAGGCTCGGCTACTCGTGAAGGACAAACGTCTATCCCAAGCCTGGACCTACGATGGCAAGATCTTTGTTAGGTCTCTCAATGGTGAGAGGAAAATGTTGTGCGTCTTCTCTGATCTTGATCCATTTAAAAGTTCTGAGTAACTTATTCTATACTTATTTGTACATGTAGCACCGACCACTACTCTTATGAGCATATGTGGATGATACCTACCTTATTTTTGCTACATCCGAATTTTTATTTATTGATGTCTTCTGTTGTTTTTCTGCTCTAGTTATTGCGAGAATTCTTTTCATATGTTTGCTCCAGGTGCGAGAGCATTACTTAGTCATTACTGAATCTCCCCTTATGTGATGTGGAATGTCTCTCCACCAGTCTAGCAAACGTAAAGTATTCATCTGTATGTAATCTCGTTAATTCCCATGACAGACAGATGTTATACGTGGGACTGGCTGAAATCACTCCACTAGTCTTGGAATCCTTATTTAAATAATATGTAAGAGCGATGAATCCATTTGTCCCGTGCCTCGGCGTTATCTTATTATGCAGCACTGGAACTACCTTATTTCTTGGCATTCACCATCTGCAATGTCGTACTCATTTTATATGTATCCTTATTGTTGTTATGTGTTTATATGTCAATTTATGTACACAGCAATGGGTATGGCTACCACAATTATTTATGGATATGGGTCAACGGTTATATGTAAATTGCTGAGCAGGTGCGTTAAATTATGCCAATAGACACTGACCAATATAGGGCAGTCATTGGCATGTTTTCTGTCGGCGTATACACTACTTGCAAGTTTAGCGTTAAGATTGCTCTCAACCTAAGTATGAGTTTGTCATATGTCTTAGTTTGTATCTCTTTCATTGTATTATTACTAGCGGGAGACATCCATCCCAATCCGGGGCCTTCGTTCCGCAAAGATGTTAATTTTATGCATATTAATGTCAACAGCCTGGTAGCTGGTACGAAATTGGATGAATTGTCCGATCTTGTAGTTAGATTTAAACTTGATGTTGTGGCTATCTCCGAAACGTGGTTGGGGGACTCTGTTGACTCAGCGGCCCTTGCCCTTGAGGGTTTTCAGGCTCCGATTAGAAGAGACAGAAACCGACACGGTGGAGGCGTCCTGATTTATGTATCTGACCAAATTGCATACCGGAGACGACTAGATCTGGAGCCAAAATCTGCTGAGTGTATCTGGCTCGAACTCTTTGCGGGATGTTCCCGTATTATATTTTCTGTTTATTATCGTCCACCCGGCCAAGACTCGAGTACTGCCACTGAATTTATTGACTCATTTACCGACTCGGTCTTTGCAGTTGGGTCATCCAACCATGACGCTCTTATAATTACAGGTGATTTCAATGCCAAGCATAATGCTTGGTGGGCCCTCGATCCTATTACCCCAGTCGGCTTAAAACTTTACCAGGCTTCAACTATGTTAAACCTTACGCAGGTGATTAGCGAGCCGACATGCGATTTGTCACGCTCCCCCTCTCTAATTGATTTACTTTTTACTGGTAGGAAATCCCTTGTTAAATGCACCTCTGTTTTGTCTCCTCTTTCAGGATGCCACCATTGTCCCATTATTACTAGATTTAACTTGTCACTAAAGTACCCACGTCCGTATGTTCGAACTATCTGGGACTACCCCAAAGTTGATCATGAATTATTAGCTACTTTTTCGTCCAACACTGAGTGGAATGACATTTACTATTGTTCTAGCGTTGATGATGCATGTTACAAGCTGGTTGATCTTATCCTCCTAGCTAAAAGTAAGTGTGTTCCCCATAAGAACATTACTGTAAGACCGAGAGACAAACCTTGGATGTCTTCCAGGATTAGACTGTTAATGCGTCGGCGAGACAAGATTCACAGGAGAGCTAAGATGTTGAACAATGCTTCACTATGGTCATTATATCGTAATGTCAGAATAAAGTAGTACGTGAAATTTCTCTTGCTAAGTCGTCCTATAACAACCGTCTCGTCGACTTCACTGACAACTTCTCCTTGTTCCAGTAAGAAATGGTGGCACATTGTTAAATCCTTTTACTGTAGTAAAGTGTGTTCTACTATTCCACCCTTAAAGTCTGGTCATACCTATGTTAACCGACTCTAGGGAAAAGGCAATTATGTTTAACAAATATTTCTCTGACCAGTCCACTATAGATGACTCCAAGTCTAGCCTCCCTCGACTAGATTTTCTTACTGATGTCCGCTTCTCAGAATGTTTTACTACACCTGAGGAGACTGAACTTTATGTCTCTTCCTTAGATGTATCAAAGGCATGTGGCTATGACAATATTGATAACCGTTTCCTAAAATTAATATGTCCTTACATATCTGATAAAATCGCATATGTTTTTAATTTATCACTTTGCCATGGTGTCTTTCCCGAAGCCTGGAAACGGGCAAATGTGGTTCCGATTTATAAAAAAGGAGATCATGATGATGTGTCAAACTATCGCCCCCGTTTCCTTGCTACCTTGTTTGTCAAAAATCTTAGAGAAAATTGTTTATAAACATTTGTATAATCATCTGATGTCTCAAAACCTTTTGTATACTCTTCAGTCGGGCTTTATCAGAGGAGATTC